TTTTTTTTTTTTTTTGAATGAGCTACAAGGATACATTTCTTCTAATAGGAGAACATTGTGTTGTTTAAACTTAAGTTGCATAATAACAAAAAGTGCCAATGCATTTTTTTTACGTACCCGTAATGCAAATAGTCTTTAAAAATGTTAATTAATTTTGAGGTAATGCCATATTCTTTTATTATGATGTCCATTTATAAGTGCGCATATGTTGAAAAAATTTAAATAAATGTACAAGATCTAGAACAATAGTAAAATGTCGTAAAATAACGATTTTCTTAAATACCACAGATTCAATCGTATTTACTTACAAAACCAACTCATGAAGAATTTTTTACTGAAATATAAAAGAACCTTTCAAATTTTTTCATTACTTGGCTGTTGATTAGAGAATCTTTCAGTTTCAGTTCCATAACTTACTAATATAAGAATTTATGAGCGCAATAATTGGTCATTTAAATTACAATAACAAACTATAATTTATTATTTATATTTAAATTAGATAAATTAAGTTGTTTTCCGATATTTCGAATATCTTTGATAATCATCTTCAGGGAAACTAACAAAATATTATATATTGTTAGTTTTATATTTTGTTAGTTTCCTGCTCATAATATTTTTGGTCATAAAAAAAAAGAATAACTTACTAATATATATTCGAGATATATAGACAGTTCTTGTTCATCGGTTAGAAACAAACGCATTTTATTATACTTAAGAATACACAGAATAGTGTTCGTAAGTCTACCTAAATTTCCAAACCAAGAGAAAAATAGAGACTGATGTCGGCCCAGTCACGGCCCCAAGACTGGACTGCCGCAGAAATTAACAAAAATGGACCTAAAGGGAGCAGGTATCGGATGAGTTAGGGGGCTTAGATTTAATAGAAATAGTAGAGTTAATTAAAGACAATGAAGAAAGAGCACGCCCAACGGTAAATCAGGATTCCACAAGGGTTTCTCAAGATGCGAGTATACAATGCATTATAAACCCAGAAAGAAAGAGAGTTAACAAAAAAGTATGATTCAAGGGGATTTGGTCATATTACATCCTTAAAAGAAAGAGGGAGGAAGAAAAGAAGACATAATCAATCTAAAGTGAACATACAATTGAGGAATTAGCTGAATTCATCAATACTATGATTATATGGCTCCTTACCGTGGTGTTCGTTGGATATGAAGGAATCCTAGGGGCATTGAAGGAAAGCTTGAAAATGGGACTTAAACTTATTCATTTGATGTTGTACTTGTAGTGCTTCTATTCACATCACATTTACATACAGAAGAATAAATTTTAGTACTTATGTCCTCTCAATGCTGCTGTGACAATATTGTATTACCACATGCCCGTATCTCGACTCCTAGCTGTATGTGCTCGTATCATGACCATATTAAGGTTCCATTGCACTTCTTTTGGGCTCCATCATGGTTGTAGTTCTACAACTCAGATCCGAGGACAGATCCTTGCGTTGCTCCTGTTGTGTTGTTTTTCTTATGATCTATCGCGAGTTTATATCGCGATAGATCATTAGATAGCGCGGACCTTTGACTTTGTTTTTAAGTATATCGAGAATGTCAGCCGTCTGAGACTATTAAACGCATTATCTACGTCAAGTATTCCAAACAAAAGAATGTTTCACGAATAGTGGTTGTCAGTCTGTGGTTATCAGTTTGAGCACTCCTTACTGTTTTGATAACGTCCCCTATTGCACCCAATATTCCATTACTATCTTAAATCCAAGCTGTCTTGATAACAGACTTCCTGCGAGTTCAAATGCTGCAGTAAGGCTTAATAAGTCTCTCGACGAGCTTTCCAATAGTACACGAGCATGTGGTCGGTTTGGTTCAGCACATTCTGGGTTACCCTTAACCTTACTGATTAATTTCGATTTTTACTTCTTCCACATTTCGGGAAAGTTGCCTTTTATTAAACCAGCATTGTACATTTCTAGTAGTACATGTAATCGTTCGTTAGCAATCATCTTAAATATCTCGGCCGGTACTCAATCTGGTCCCGGAGTTTCTGGATCTATAAAATATTTAAGCTGAATTATTATGCTTTTAAACAAAAGGAACGCTATTATATTATTAATATATTATTAAATATAAAGGAGATCAGTTAATGCTGAACATATGACATTTATTTATTTATTAAAAATCTTTCAATTTTTTATATTGTAAAAAGACTATTTAAATATATTTATTTATATATATATTTAATTGTATATTGTACAATGATAAGCATTCAATTAATTGATTTGTTGTGCACGATTGTGATTTCATTCCGTCACATTTATATCAACTCACATTAGCTTATGTTATTGGAAGCTAAATCAGCTCAACCTGCATAGATTTGTCAAAAACAATCCATCACACTTTCAGAACGCATGAATTCCAACATTTCACTAGAATTACTCATGTAAGGTATTAATTCCGAGGTATTAATTCCCCCTTTAACACATCGAATATTTGTCAAATTAAATTCAATTAAGGAACTCAATCGGTGATTGATGAATTGACTGGATATGTTAATGCGTTCTTATTTTATAAGGTATGTGCTGAACGATTTGAATTAGCACATCTTTGACTTTGACTTTGAAAGAAGTCGAAAGAAGGTGATTACATTACATAGCCTTAATGCACATGTAATCGCAATGTAATTAACTGAACTTGTAATAAATAAAATGGGTCTAGGTCACTTAATTAACCAACGAAATTAATTTTCCTTTTACCTCCTTTTACGCACTTCTTAATGTGTCTATGGGAAAATTCAATTAGGTTGCGAAATAAATCACGTATTGATTACCACTGTCAATTAGATTCTTTAACTAGTATTGAATGTCTGTAATTTATTAATATTTTATAAAAAGATATGTCACCAGCAAATTTATATGTCACATTAAATTAACTTATTAACACTTAGCATTTTGCAAGCATCGAAAGCAAGCGGGAATCGTTGATATTCCCATTAAAAGAATTGATAGTGCAAAACTAATAAAGCAGTCTTTACTTAGATTAATTTGAATATTAATCACATTTAAAAAAATTAATTAAATTTTCCGATTATTTTTATATTCAACTTTAGAGTTCTGTGGAGATAGAGGGGAGGTGGAGTGATGAATGGACGCTAAAATCTTACACAAAACTCAAATAATGCTTATTAAAATTTCGATTATTTAAAAACCAGCACTAAATACAAAAACTATAGTTCATTATTAATATTTAAATAATATTTATTTAATATATGCTTTAGCTATTTAGCTATTTACGTTCAATACGTAACATACTTTGGAACTCTATTTATTTCTAAAAGTAAGTGGTAAGTAGTAGGCTCTATTTCTAAAACATTATTTATTTAGATGTTCCACACTGAGGAACAGTTGAAGTTCATTCAACTTCATTATAACTTTAACAATAAATAACAGACTTAAATTCAAATGTTAATTGGAAATAACTGAAATTCATTTTTAAAGTAGAATATCTGGCATGAGTAAGATTTTATACTCACCGCGGCTTGACTACTTGATTTTGGAATATATCACTGTTATGAGTAATTTTTGTCTGACCTATAGAAATATATACGAAGTCAAATGGCTTTCTCTAATTTTAAGGAAACAATTGTATTTCGAAATGTAGTGGGCCAAAACAACAAAATTCTATATTATATTATTTTAATTAACTGAATTTTTGGCTGACCATACAGCTCTTTCGAGTATTGCCAAATTCCCATCATCGGTGGTGTTGGAAATAATTCTTGTACTTAATTATTCGTAAATAATTTTTTTAGATTGCAAACACCAGGAATCGAATTCGTGCGCTGTCAAATTTGAAGCTCAGAGTCAGCGCATCTTAAACAACTGACTCGAAGCCGTACATGACTTTTATATTCGCACATACTTTTTTTTTGAGTTTTATTAATTTGCTGTTAAAGTTTAATAAACAAATTCACTTGCTATGTTTATATTAGAACAAAATCATAAAGCAGTTGTAGAATAATTGAATTAATAAAATATATTTTTATTTTTAATTGCTAAATTTCAATACTATTCTGTTATCATAAAAATTACATTTTATACAGTCAGATCATTCCATTAAAATAAATGGAATGGAAACGAATTCATAAAATTTTATTTTGGAGTTTGTGTTTTCATTTTTTATCCAATTTTCTGTTATATCCACTTGTTATCTTTATTTAAAAGGAAAAATTTTTCTCTCATACAATTTTAATTAATTTATCAGATACAAAAAACTGATCTTGAAACTCTTTGAATTTTTACAAGATATCAAGACATATTTGAACAGAATAAATTAATTTCGTACAAAATACACGGATTCTTAGGATTGTATTTTAGAAAATTTACTATCCTTATTGTGAGTTTGTACAATTCGACCAGTTGGGTTAAGATTAATGTGAAGAATCATTGCATATACATATGTAGATGTATTACTTATTTAATATCAGGCAGAACTTACCTGCTTTGTCTAAGTCCAATTATGAATTTTGAAATCGTTTTATTCATGAACAGTCTAATAATTTATAAAAAATTCACTAATGAAAAATCCTACTGATTTGTTAACGTTAAAAATATTTTTAAGCTTTTTGCTGGTGAAAAAAGATTAACATACTTTATATATATTATACATTGAAACTAGACGCGATCCATCGCACTAGTTTCAAAACTACTGTTCAAAAAATTGAACAATGGACTTCATTTAAACGAATTTTTTTCCAAATATTTTAATGTCATAGTAGATGTATCCTCTTTACTATATGAATTTTTTCCAAATATTTTAAAGTCATAGCAGATGTATCCCCTTTACTAGACTCAAAAAGTAACTGAAGAAGTGATTAGTTGCGGCATAACACATAATGTTGGTTATGTTAGCATATTCACAATATTTTCAAGAAAGTAAGATTATAACTTAACAAAGTAGAAAAGTAGGCACATATGTAAATTTTTTACTAAAAATCTAATAACTATTTTTCTAGAAGTTATAAAATAATATAAAATGAAGAATATTAACTTATCCGAACTTTCGAATGGCACCACTAGAATGTTCCTGAGACGGCAGCAACGTCATTCAAGTTTTATACAGCCAAATACTTGGGTAAGCTTTTAATCAAGACTACAACTATGAGTAACTTTTATAAAAAGCAGATAATGTAAAATTATATGCACATTATTGATATTTCCTGAAACTTATTATTTCATTTAAATATTCTTTAATCTACAATGTAATCGCATATATTTAAATTGATTAAATTGTTAGAAGGTTAATGTTGTTCAAGACTATCTATTATCATTTGGACACTAAGTAATGCTAAGCTAAGCATGGATTTTGAACTTAAATGATTTTTCGCTACCAACGTTAAAAACTTATAATTTACTTAATTTGTATTCTTTTATTTGAATACAACTTAAACCAGCAAGCATAACAATAATTTGGAATATGATATGATTGCAATGGAGGGAATATACAATTTTAATTTTGTGGTGTAACCTGACAAAAGAGAATGAGGGTTTGAGAATGACAAAGATTTGGATTACGTAATACTTGAACGTCGCCCTACAAGCCAACTTACTTTTGTTGGAGACGCCTCTGTTGTCCTATAGCCAGAGAAGCAGCAGAAAAAATCATATAACCCAAAAGTATTCCTTTGCAGTATGATAAAAAAAATGGATCTATCGCAGTTACTGCAAACAAATTTCTCAACTTTTAATCGAAGGATTCTTTATGCAACAACAACAACAAAAAATAGTTTCTACATATTTTAAAGAAAAAAATTAATAAGAATATATTAATGAAGAATGGAAAATGTTGAACTGTATTAAAACAGATAATTTTTTTGTTTTTTGATACTACGTATGGAATCGTTTTCTTAGGCTATACAACCTCTTAACTATTAACTTCGTTATTACAATGAAAGCTCTGATTAATGGACATTCTCAAAAGTTGTCATCACCTGCAACCATCGTAATCACTCTTCGTCCTCCGACCAAATTTTTCATACAAAGTACTTTTGCTTGAAGATAACAGTCAGCCTTGCTTGTCTCGTCGGTGTCTGCTCAAAAGAGCTTTCGCTGTCGTTTTTTTACTGTATAATATAATAATTTTCTCAATAAAACATAATTTTCTTCAATAAAATTGCAATAATATATACATTTCGGTTGTATATTTACTTATGAACATAAATATTGTTTTCATACGCGTAAATAATATCGACTAAAATATTTAATTTTATTTCATTTCCTTAGGTCCACTGTTACCATCCTACCGAGTTAAATACTGATACGCAAAATGATTGCTTGTATGTTCGCAACAATTCCAGATGCAAGGAATATGTACAATTAATCAATTACTTGGAATTTATTGTCTGCAAAATTGGCGCCACTAGTTCGATCTCAGGACTAATACAAATATTCGCCTGCACTTCAATACTCTTATGCTTTTACTTTCTAGGCCTCATAGTTATTGGGAGATATTTGTAAGTGAAATAATCAATGAATTTTGACTTTTAAATGTAATATATTAAAAATCCCCGTGCAATTAATGAAATGATATAGTTTCGCGATGAAGTTATATACTTTATTACTGTCCCTCTTTATTCACGGTCCCGCTTTATTCACGGTCCCCCTTTATTCACAGCTGGAATAATTCATTGATTCTGCATTATTCACATACATCTACCAAATGTTAAATATAACACAAATATTTAAAAAAATAATTTTAAATTTAACTCATCCTGCAAAATATTTCATCATCGTAAACTTGTTCAGTGCAAAAACTATCTTCGTTAGTGGATATAGTGTTGAAAACAAGTAATTAACCTTTATGTGCTCGGTAGTCTGCATTTGTAGCATTTTGTGCGAAAAAGTTTTATAAAAATAATTTTCCATAACGATTGGGAGCGAGATTCTTAGTAGTTTTCTAAAAATTAATTTTAAGCTAATATTGATGTCATAATAATAAGAAAGAACAGGGTATTAGCTCCCATTTGAGCAGAGCACCGCGACCATGATTGATCTTTTGTGCTACGACAGACCCTAACTGAACAAAAGACATTCCGCCTTTCGAATGAAGGCCAAAATGTCGGTTGTTGAAGTCCTCCTAATGTCGGAAGGTGCTAGCAATTCCCGACCCAGTGATCTCCTCCTGGCCCAGATTAAAGCTGGGCAGTCACATAGAATGTGGCTGGTTAATATTGATGTTAACAGCTTCAAGAAAATAATTTATTAAAGCCCTAGACCCAACTTTTCAAAACGATCATCTCCTGGCCGGTAGTCTACATTTGTAGTCACTATATAATTTGTATGAAAAGTCATATTACCTACCCACACAACTCAATATTTTTTAGTTCCAAAGTGCAGAAATATGTTTCTTGCAATGCATATTTGTGCTTATATGGATGAGTTTATGGTTTAGATCGCAACAGTAGGAGGAGTAGTAGGAGTAGGAAGCGCGGTTGATAATGCTGTATCAGTTTTCTGCTGAAGCTCAATCTGATTACAATCTAATGCTTTCGATCCGCTGCGCTTATTTGGTAATGAAATAGTTTAATTTGTAATATATAAAAAATAAATGAGAATATTGGAAAATATGACTTAACGTTCTTTAACTCGGGCACAACGAATTGTTAAACAGTAAGTGTGTTTGCAGGTCTTCCTTTTTTTGTAAGTGGCTTATGAAAGAAGAATGGCTACAATATATTGACAAATTACTGAGCGAGATTGATGAGGAGGAAGAGGAGCACTAGTTTTTAGCGTTGAATGGTTTGATGATCATGTACCACTTGACCATCATACAAGTTCCAGCTCAAGCAATGTTTCTCTTGGTGCTGTAAGTGTTGCGATTGGTTTCTATTTTAAAGAATCTGATGCCGATAATGAAATGATGATTGGTAAAGAAGGTGATCCAGAAATCCGAGTATGAATAAGATGTATTATTCGAAATAAATTTTGATTATGTGATGAATGTGAAAGAGACATCGATGGTTTTGCAGCATCTTGATACATTTAGATAGATACAAGATATAAGATATAATACTGTCTGGTTCACAAAAGTATACATAATCAAGTAGGTCGCACTAGTGCTCACAATGTATTTCATCACACTACTGTTGCTCCAATTCGAGCGACTAAAGGTCTGATTTAGTAAACCGTATTCGATGCTTGAATAAATTTGAGAGGAACAAACGAAAAAGCTAGAAAAACTTTTCAAATGTGGAATGAAAGAAACCCCAACGCAAAGGAAAGAATGTGGAAGACTGTCCCCGGCATGTAAAAAATTGTTAATTGAGCTATTGCTAGTTCTATTGCTAGTTGGTGTAACCTAATCAAACGACGTGGATACGAATGTATTGTGGAGTAAGGAAGCAGTTTGTTATTACCATGCAACAATGTAGAAACCCATTTCAAAGAATTTTTACATTATATTCGGTTTCACAGTCAGCGTACTAGAACTGCTCGACTTGTTATTGACAAGGCTCCGCATATACCTACTACCAATCTTCCGGAGAAGTAACAGTAGATAAGCAACTATTTACATATCGCTATGGACCAAATTTATCCATTATATTGCATCCAAAAGTTTGGTGCGCTTGTGATGTGAAGTCGTTTTATCCTCTCAACAGTGAGGTTTACACTGGGAAGAACTCAAATGCAAATCAGGCAACTAATGTGGAAGAGAATAACATTTGAAAGAGAAAAACTACGCGAAAGATTTGCAGTTGATGCATAAAAACCAGTGTACATTGTGACCGAAAAGCTTTCGGAAATTCTCATTTAAAATTCGCGCGCTGTATATTTTTCGATATTTTAAGTTTATGTAGTTTGGCAGCACTGTCCTTAATTACTATGCCAAAAATGAGCGCGATCTGTCAGCCAGTTCGTTTACGGCAGCTGTTGAAACCAGTTCACCTCAGTAGTGCGTTGCGAAAAAAACAATGGAAAAAAATATTGAACAAAGAGTTTGCATCAAATTTTGTTTTTCGAACGAAATTTCGTGTGCAGAATCGTTGCGAATGCTACAAAAGGCTTATGGGGAATCAGTTTTATCGAAAACTCAAGTTTATGAGTGGTACAAAGCCTTTCAGGACTGTCGTACGACCGTCGAAGACATGCCGCGTTCTGGACGACCTTCGACCTCTACCACCGACGAAAACATTGAAAAGGCAAAGGAAATCGTGTTCAAAAATCCTCATGTGAGTGTTAGAGAGATAGCACGAGAGCTAGGCATCGGTCGTGAGATGGCTCGTTTGATTTTGGTGGACAATTTGTGTATGCGACGTGTCAACGCCCGGCTTGTTCCGATTCACCTCAATTTGTTCAACATTATCAACGATTTTAAGGCCAAACATTCAATAAATACCATCGAACAGCCACCGTATTCACCTGATCTTGCACCGTGTGACTTTTTCCTGTTTCCCAACCTCAAATTACCACTCAGAGGAACGCGTTTTGAATCCATAGAAGACGTAAAACAGAATTCGCAGAGGGAACTCAAAGCCATACCGGAAAGCGCCTATAAAAAATGTTTTGATGATTGGAAGAAACGTTGGCATTTGTGTATCGCTTCTAATGGAGCATATTTTGAAGGAGATAAAATAAATATTGATGAAGATTAAGAATTTTGCGTTTTATTTAAAATTTCCGGAAACCTTTCGGTCACAATGTATGACGTACAAGCAGTCACATATTCTTTGGGTGAATGTTGTTCCTCAAAAGCTACTTAAACCTTTTCATCCAAATTTTGTATAATAATTTTCTTAATAAATATGTACAATTGTGTGTAAAAGCAAAATAATATGTCTAAAAGTGTTTTTTTTATATGTTGGTCTAGATTTCTTCATAACATACTTGCTTGCTACAAATGTAGACTTTCGACATAAGAAAAATATCCCGAGCATTTTAAGTATGTTTGACCGATCAGTAAATGATTTGATGAACGCAACACTGACATGTTGTGCTATGGAAGTTTTTTATCATCACTTGTATTATATATTTATTATGTCGATAGGTTGGTAACTTCTAATGGAACGAAAGTTTTTTAATTTTTTTCAGTCTTATACCAAATATTTTGACAATGAATAAAATATTCCGTTTTCCGGATTTCGAATTTGGTTACTCAATTATCACATTTTTCATGGTATTTTGTGATTTCATTGAAGCAGTGATTAAGTGTTATACGTACGAAGGTATGGCGTCTTTAGAAATATCCGAAAATATCGGTCAAGTGCTATGTACCTTAAGTGTAGGAATGATAGTGTTTGGATTTTCCAAAAAATTTCACCGCTACCAAAGCTCTCATTTTCTGCGTCTTATTTTAATGTTATTTTTCGGACTTACATATTTGGTATGGATACTTGATTACAAGCAGCAGCAAGATGAAGAATACAACTCTGCTACAGGAGTTGATGTTAATTTAAAAATCCACGCTGCCGGTATGGTTATAGTGTACGCGTTAATTCTATTCTTCACACTTGCACTGATTAAACGTATTCCAATAGCTGATATAAAAAGAATGGAAGAACAGTCCTTTGATAATCGAAATAGGCTCTTTCCCGAGGATAAGCAGTTACTGATGTACATTTATACATTTAATCCCTTTGCCAACATGAAAAACTGGAAATTGCCCACTGTGCTTACTGCAGTAATACAATATTTATTTATATGTAAATGCGTCATATGTTTACACTATTTCTATAATTTTAAGACTCCTTTGTGGGTTTTAGCAGCACTTCAAATTCCAGTTGTTGATCAAAATCGTCCCATGAACGGTTGGAGTCGGAATGCAGTGCTAATTAGTTTTTTTACTTTTCCATTGATTTTGTGTATGTACTTCAACTCAGTAATAGCTTTATATATTGGCCTCCCTTTTGGAGTAATTGCGGCTCTAGTTACCCACTGTACGACTGAAGTAGATCGAAAGCCTAGTTTTCATGAGGTGACTACCTATGTTTTCTTCAGTTAAATAATAAACAAATTTGGTTATACAAGCAGATATATTCTATTTATGGGGTGGCAGTAGCCATGTTTTGGATATATTTAATCGATAATGAAATAGAAAACATAGTGTGGCAATTAGCGACGTACTTGGGCAATTGGAGTATTGACACAATTGTATTAACGACATTTCCCGCTGGATTCGGAATCATTGGTAAATTTAGCACTACTTTTATATGAGATAAATATATGAGTATATGAGATAAGTATTCGTGGAATACTAGTTAATAAAGTTGTTTTATTTGCAGTATATACAATATGTTCAACGCTGGTGTCCCAGGACAGAGGAGAGCTTGCGTTAGGCGTTTTGACTGGTATTTCTGTGTTTTGCACTTATTTTCCTTTGGCTGTCGTTAAGTTCCGGATTTGCTCCACAAAGTATGATAAGGTGAATTTGATAAAATTGTGCAATTATAACTTTTCTAATTTCTTATACTTTTTCATATCTACTGCTTAGGTGGTAGTGACTGCTAACACGTACACAGGATTTGTTTTTATGCTGTTAATATTAGTCTACACAATGGTTTATGTTTTTATATTAAGATATGAGCTTCGAAGAAGTTATGGTTACGCTGTACTCACTGAATATATAGTTTATCTAATCGTAATGCTTCTCTCAGAGTTTCAAGCGATTCATCCGTATGGAGCAACACACGCAATTCTAAAAGGCGCACCACAATCAGCGTACTGGTCTTAGACGACACAATGTAAAACGTTTTACATTTTTTATTACTAATCGGTTTAGTTTCTTTAGATATGTTTTGAAACAAATAATACTGCACTAAGTACTATTTCCTTAACTTCAGTATAAGTTGTTGAGCAAAGTCTTCATAAGCTTTTTATTTGATTTAGTTGTGGTACTTTTGGAGTATATTTTTCACCTGCTGTTTATTTGGTGCTGTGCTTAATCTTTTCCTACTAATACCATATATTAAAAGATTGCATTGAGTATTATTTTCTACTCTGATTATTTTGAAAGAAAGTAGTGATATTTTAGAATTAAATAAATAATAATTAACAATACTTGTTACAATACTAATAAATAAATTTCAAAAACTTTACAACTATATATGCGGTTTCAATTTTTGGTACCTAACCGATCGTTACAATCATGTGTGATCTAACGACTTCAAATTCATCATACAAAGATATCTACTGTCCTTGTGCGACATATAGAAGCACAGATAAGATAAATGTAACTTTCATTAGTCGAGATGGAGCGATACATTATGCCCAGCCCTCAGTTTTATCTCTTTGCAGTTATTCCTCCCTTTATCTTCAAGCTGGCAGCATTGTCATTACTAATGACATAATCGGCAGATATAAAATCCTTCATATGTTCAAGATATATAGTAACCATTATCCAGTTAATTGTCGGAGCGACATTGTAACCATTGAGTTTATATTAGAGTGATGTCGACGTAAACTTGTGATAAAATTGAGGTAATCACAGTATACTGGAAAATTTTGTTGGAAACTCTTATGGTATTAAAAAGTACAAATGGGTCAGATGACCCATAATGATCTGAAGATGCTTTTCAAAATCATTTTGAACAGGTGTATTTGCTTTGCAGAAAAAGGAGATTTTTTATGTGGTTATATAAAAAAGTGGAATCGAACAATTTACAAAAAGATTGCGTGATTCGGCAAAATGTTTGCACACGTTTTCCAGTACATGATGCTGGGTGAAAATCTGGACAATGGTGAAATGACCGCATTTAGAATCACACTGATAGGACCCAATCAGTACGCTTAAAAACATTTTTTATTTACCAAGTGTTACGAATAATGTCATCTCGCCCTGCTTCAAAGCAGTTAAGATGTAAGGTTGCGATTCTTACGCATACTATTGCTTAGTCCTATAATATGACTAATATTATACTCATCCACACTGATCTTGTACAAATTCATAAGTAAGTCGAGTATATCCGCTGCCTGTTTATTTTTAGGTTATCTTGGTACTATTGGTTGGTACTATTTTGACACTATCTTTTTGGATTGGGGGACATAAGGTCGAATTAATGTTATCTCTGTAAGAAAATAGAAAGGTCATCTAATTTAAGGCTCAAAACCTTCAGCTAAATTATTTTCTCTACGGGCATCATTCATGTTACTAGATATATACCTTGATTTCTCCTTTCCTGATCTTAGTTCTTTTTCTTCCAAAAATACCTCAAATTTGGAAACAATTTCGAAGTTGTAAAAGATAGTTAGAAATCTTCCAAATGTAGGATGTTTGATGCATATCTTTGAACACTCTGATATCCTACTTTAATAGTTTAATCAGCAAATATTTAATTGGAAATTGCAAATAAACCGTAAAAACGCTTACATTAGTTGACTTAAATATTATATGTCCGTGTATTGTAATGTGTGAATCATTTGCTATTGTGTAAAGCAGATCCTTTTAGTGAAATGAATTAATTACCTGAGATACTATATGTGAGTAATTTGCTTGAGTTGTATTGATAAACATATCAATATAAAAGAGCGCAATTTTTATATCTTAAAATGGACAAATATTTCCTTAATCAAAAACTGGCTGTAGTAAAGGAGGAAATGGCTGGGAATGCAACGAAGTAGCTTATACTGTGGCTTTTCGTGTTTATGTGCCTTATTTAATAATGCTGTTTATTTTTGTGATAATTTTATGATATAAATAATTATATACCACAATAAAGTATTCTTTATATAAGCTGTAATTTTTTCTTTCAGACTAGCAAAAAATACTCGCAACTTACGAAAGAAAACATGTGAAGCAACAACAATGCTCTTAAAATTTTCAGAGTTAGGTTTTACACACAAAAATTTTTATGTCTTAAGTGGCCTTTAGACATCAACGCGCGTTGACAAACACACGAAGTCTTCTCTCTCCATTACACATTAAATTTACCAACAATTTTTTAAGCACGCCTCCAGCAAACAATGCAAAATTTGTTCACTCATCAGTATTAAAGCAATCGCTGAAGTGTCGACAGCGGCTGCTATGCGTAATTTCCTTACGAAAAATAATGTTTTACATTTAATTTATAATTTTAATTTATATATTTATATTTATTTTTATGATTTCAATTTATATATTTATTTTTATATATATTATATTTTATATAATTTAATTTTTTTTTTTGGTATTTTTTAATAACAAATTTTCCGTAGGTGCACAATGCAATTAATATTTAAAACAAAATTTTTATTGTAATTTAATGTTTGGTTATTTTTTTTTAGCCCAAGGTTATTAATATTTTAATTCTTCTTAATAAAATGTTTTGGAAATTAAAAAATTTTACCTAGGTAGAAAATACAAATATTTAAAATTAAATTCATTCATATTTGCAAAGCATCGCATCCTAACGACAAATCATGCGTGCATTTAAACGATGTTTACGCTTCCATTTCTCAAAATAAATAAAATTTTGCATGCCGACCAAATCCGACTGTATATGCAAAAACACGAGCATGTTTGAAGAAATATCAAAATGTTTTGATTTTCGTCAACACATTTCTTAAAATTTCAAATGTTACTATTACACAAACAAATTTCGCATTTCACAAAGTAGGAGAAAAGTAGGAGAAAAAAATTCTCTTGTGAGAGCGATTTTTTAGTATATTTGTTGTTTTATCTTGGGCGTGTTTTAAAAATTGTTAAAAAATTGTTTGTGTAATGGCAAGCGCGCGTTGACAACGAACGTTGCTGTCTAATGGGCCCTTTAAGTTTTAGAGTGCAGTCAAATTCAAATATCAATCTATTGTGAATTTGCATGAGAAATATGTTGCAAAATTCCAGTCATTCGTTAATATAATATTATCTGAACGAACAAATTCAAATTCATAATTGAATAAATTAATTTAAACATATAAGATAAAAATGCTTGCCATTGCCCTTCTTATTTTCATTTAGTTTTTTTTTATTTAAATTAATTAATTTAATTATTTACAATTTTAAACTTTCCAATTGTACACAACGCAATAAAAGACATATTTTTTTTCTTAATGTGTGTTTTTCACACCTCTGAAAGAAAAGATTACGGCTGTAATAACAACTGTTAAGTTTTTGATTAAGTTTAAATATTTTGCTTTAACCACGTATCGAATATATCCATTTGCATAAGATTGGTTTGAATGCAACTGATAGTTTAGTTATTTTGTTAAGAAGATTACTGAATTAATTGTGGATTGCAACCTAATTGTTGCCATTTCAGTCCCAGTCCCAGTGCCGTCCAAAAAATCAATATAACCTGAAAAAGATGAGGTCATGTATTTTATAGTTATAATTATAATTGTGTGGGTTTGGATTATTAAACCAATCTCCCTTGGAGATTGACTCCGCCGCTCACGCTCTTAAAAGAACATGTTCCCAAGGTGCGGTGTCAACATATCCCATCAAGTTTCTCCTGATCCTCCCACCCTAAATCTACTTAATGAGAGAAAATTAGATGTAGATTCCATGCAAGCTGAAGATTGTTCTTCCATTGTAGAACAACATTTTCCCTTCGTGCCAGTTTGGCATTGCAGTGCATGCACCACCTCCAAAACGAGACATGCGTTCGCCTTAACAGCAAGCAACCCATTGTGGCAGTAAGACTTGATATGGAAAAATCCTTCGGCACTGTATGATTCGAAAGTTTAAGCCATGAACTCTACTAGTTCAGTTCCTCCCTGTTCCGCGCCTTTCCTATAGCCGTCGGCGTTCTGCAGGGCACGGTTCTTGGCCCCCTCCTATTCAGCCTGTTTATTTCAGACATTCCTCTCCTCCAGGTTTTTATCAAGCAAATTTGCTTCGCTGACGACTGCCTTCATGCTGTAACCCCGGTATGACTTCAGCCATAGTTCTTCAAGGCCTTAAAACAGATCTTACCGATGCCTTTGACTCCTCTGTCACTTTTTACTTTTAAAGTGATACTAACCAAATCACTTACCGTCGACTTGCAGCCGAAACATATTATATAAGGGCTATAAAATAATTAAAAAGAAATTGGAATATTTCCTAAGATCACTGATGATGCGTACGTGGCAGTACTCTAAACAGCGTTGTATGGTCAGCCAAATTTCAATAAATTAACTAAATTTTTGTGCATGTCTTTTTTTTTCTATTCGAATCCATCTAACTTACAAACGTTTTTTATTTAATCTAAATTTCTGTAATATATATTATTATATATTAAATTATTTTTTTATATAAGTTATTTTTACTTTGATTTTTAATTTTTACTATACAATCTTCTCATTTTATATGCATTCAATTGGTCTAAGGCTAGGAACAATTTGATGTATGAGACGTGAAAATAGTATCATCCAATGTTCTTATGTGCAAATATTTAATATTATATGCATTAGTCTTCTTTATGGAAGATTAAAAAAATTTTTTTTTGGGTTTTAAAGTTTTAAATAAATCATGTGAACTCTTCTTCCACTATAGTACAAAACTATTTACTTAAATTTCAATTAAAACACTAATAATCCGTCTATTTTTCCTTTTTTAATTTCCAGAAACTACAGATGCCATGAATAATTGCGAACTTATTCTTCCTTTTTTAAAATTTTTTTTATTGATGACAAACTGCTGACGCGAAATTATCGTTAGCAAAAATTTTGTTTGGTAATAAAATTCCAACTTGTTATCTTCCTTGCTGCTATTTCAAAGTGGCAAAGGATATAAATTTCAAACTAATCAGAATCACATTACAAAAAATAGCGAAAAAGCAAAAATTCTGCTATAAAATTGCGTCGATAAAATCAAATTTTATACCGAAAGTTTCAAAACAGCACACAAATGGTCCTTTATGCCTTTGTTTTCCGAAAGAAATAAAACGGTTTATGTGTGAAGTTTGATGCCAGAGGATAAAGCCATCAGAGATGTTACTTCACTCGTATTTGCCATTTACGAGCTATGCGCATCAACGGAGCTGTTAATTAAAAAAGTAAATACAGCTTAAATAGATTTGGGTCCCTCATAGATTTTTAATTTTTAGAAAAATTACTTAC